TGTGTCGACTTTTTATTTTTATTTTTTCATAAATATTCTATAAATAACTCTACTAAAAAAACAACTTATTTCCAACCAAATAATATTGACTTACTTTTGGAACATCTCAAACAAAAATAAGTACTTTTTCTAGTAGAAGTGTAAGCACTTTACTCGATAAATTCTGGTGATTTTTCTAGTGAATTTGTAAGCAAATATTTTGCTGGGTATGTAGCATTCATGATAAAATTTTCGACAATAATATAATAAACATCGGGTCATTTCGGAAATTATCAATGATCGGTACGTAATTATCCAAAATTGGTACTTTTTGTCATAATATTTAAAATTTCATATAAGGATGATTTGGACTCTAATTTGATTAGTCGAATGAGTAAGACACTATGTGACAAAAATACTTTTGGAAAGTGATAATGCTTTATACTTTGCATTGTACACACAGCTTAAAACAGAGCTATGTTGAAACCAAATCACAAGGTCTTTAACGTCAACGTCTCAAACTAGCCTGTAAGTAATGCTAGATGTAACAGACCTGCCAGCAATGAAAGCCTGTGCTGCAAACAATTTTCTTCGGGACGACGCGATCTCGGTAGAAAACAGTCATTGTTATTACAAGGTCTGTGAGCTTAATGTCTTAGACCTGTCTTAAGGCAATGCCCTCTTATCAATGGAAGCCAGGGTTGCAAGCACTCTTCTTTTACACGACGCGACCTCAATACAAATCCGGTCGAACAGTCTGAAGGCATTTCTAAATGTATACCAATAGTATATGACTGGGCTGAAAGAAATTCTTCATCAGGATGATGCGATCTCAGCCTACACTGACGGCTCATTATATTGTCTGATGCCTGCAGTTTTTAGGCTTTAAGTTACGCTATTGATAGAGCTGCGTGAAATATCTGAGAACAAAGTCTCGTGATGAGGTCGAAAGTTACTCTTAATTACATTCACTCACCGCATCAATTTATAAACAGTTTAGGTTTTAGGGAAAATGAAATTGCGCAATAAACAGATCGTCCTTGTCCAAAACAATTTCACAAAAGTATATTTATATTACTATGGCTGCGGTGTAGAATACGATCGACAAATAGGTGCCAGAAAAATCGAAACTCGGATGTGTTACTGTTAGATGTTGTTTAGACGAAGAAGATTACAATAGTTTAGACTGATGATATAAGACATATGAAGCCAATAGACCAGTCCATTGACTAGTTAACAGAATGTTCCACAGACTAGTTAATAGACAAGTCCATAGACTAGTGTATAGAATAGTGTAAACATAGACTAGCAAAAAGACTTGCCAATTAACTAGCCAATAGATTAGTCATTTGACTAGTCAATAAATTGTCAATATAGTGGCCAACAGAGTAGTGAATTGACTTGTCCATAGACTAGTCCAAATATTAGACAGTAGAGTAGTTAAAATAGACTAGATAAAATATTATATTCCATGAAGATTAGACCATTAGATTAGTTCATAGACTAGTCAACTGACTATATAGTCCATAGACTTGTTAATAAACTAATTAGAAGACTAGTCCATAGGCAATAGCTAAAAGGCCTCTCAAATTATATAAAACATCCCAGCAAAAACTCGGTAATGGGTTGAACTTACATAACTACTTACCGCCTGTATTACTTAGAAGTACTCTAGTATTGTCTTTATTATAATCTTATATAGAAGTACTTTATTTTCGGCTTTGTCATTTTGTTTAAAAATTTTATTTGATTGCGTGTTAAGAATTGTGTTTTACAACAAAGAAAACAAAATTTAGTTTGTATGTGAAAACCTCGCAATAAAGTGGCTAAGTAATGATGCAGTGAGTAGAACATTTGATTAACAAATCGAAGTCCCTGGATCGTATTTTCGCTGGCTCTTTTTCTTCTTCTTTGTAAGATAAATTGCAAGTTCTTCTTTAACTCCCTATTTGTAAGCGAGCGTGCAAGTACTTGCCTCCAATGACATCACCGTGTTAAAATAATGACTTAAAATGGTAATGAAGAAGTAGTGAAAAGTGGTTTTATTAGCTTTTTATACCCTCCACCACCATCAGTGGTGATAGAGGGTATATATAACTTTGTCATTCCGTGTGTAACACCAAGAAATATTCATCTGAGACCCAACAAAGTATATATATTCTGGGTCCTTATGAAATTCTGAGTCGATTTAGCTATGTCCGTCTGTCCGTCCGTCCGTCCGTCCGTCCCTCCGTCCGTCTGTCTGTCTGTCTGTGTAAAACACGCTCACGTTAAAACGAAGCAATATAATTTAACAAAATTCACCCAAAACATTCATTATTATCCGGTACAGTTTGGTATTGAAAATGAGCAAAATCGGCTCACATCGGGAAAAGTTATGAATCAAAATTTAAAACAACTCCGAAAAAAATAAGCATTTTTTACACATTTTGATGTAATTTTCTCGAAAACTATGCAAGATAATTTCATGAAAGTCATCATACATTCGTTTCTACACAAGGTCGTGATTCTTGCTGAAAATTTCCAGAATCGGTCCATAATTTCATATACCTCCCATACAAAAGTACATATTCCCGGAAAATGAGTTTTTTGTTAATAACTTCCGTCAGAATGCTGATATCTTCACAAAATTTTACAAATTAAAATCTTATGTCAATAGAATTCATCTAAAGAAAAAATTTTCTGGATCGGTTCATAATTGGACATAGCTCCCATACAAGGTCCCCTCCCAAAAATCACTTAAACGCGCATAACTCACTACTAAATTAAGATATCCATATAAAATTTGGAATAAGTATTGCTCATATGCACAGAAATATTACTGTGAAAGTTTTTTCCGATCGGTTCATAATTGGACATAGCTCCCATACAAGGACCCTTCCCGAAAATCACTTAAACGCGCATAACTCATTATTAAATTAAGATATCCATATAAAATTTGGTACAAGTTTGCTCTCATATACAAAAATATTTCTGTGCAATTTTTTGCGATCGGTCCATAATTGGTCATAGCTCCCATACAAGGTCCCTTCCCGAAAATTAATTAAACGCACATAACTCATTACTAAATAAAAATATCCATATAAAGTTTGGTACAAGTATAGATCTCACATATAAAAATATTACTATGAATTTTTTTCCCGATCGGTCCATAATTGGTCATAGCTCCCGTACAAGGTCCCCTCCCGAAAATCACTTAAACGCACATAACTCATTACTAAATTAAGATATCCATATAAAATTTGGTACAAGTATTGCTCACATATACAGAAATATTATTATGGAAGTTTTTTCCGATCGGTCCATAATTGGTCATAGCTCCCATACAAAGTCACCTCCCAAAAATCACTTAAACGCACATAACTCATTACAAAATATTGATATCCATACATTTAGCACAAATATTGCTCTTATATACATAAATTACACTATAAAATTGCTTTGCAATCGGTCCATATTTGGTCATAGGTCTCATACTAGGTCCCCTCCAGAATATCACTTAAATGCACAATATTCATTGCCAAATAATGATATAGATACAGAATTTTGAAATTTTGTCTTTATATACATAATTGGTCATAGCTCCCATACAAGGTCCTTTTACGAAAATCCCTTAAACGCACAATACTCATTACCAAGTAAAGCTATTGATTCAAAATTTGGCACAAATATTAGTTTGGTATACAAAAATTCTATTTCAAGATTTTTTCACGATCGGTCCATAACATGGGTGCGGTCGGTCCCATGCAAGTGTCCCTTCAGAAAATCACTTGAACACACATTACTTATTACTAAATTACGATATAGATACAAAATTTGACTGAAATATAGCTTTTATGTACAGAAATTTAGCTTCCCATACTATGTCCTGCCCCTAAAAACAATTTGTGTAGAACAAAATTATATATATGTATTTTGAAAATCCTTAAATCTTTCACACACATGCATACATGCACATTATTAAATATCGTTAAAGCATATCTAAGGGCGCTATAAAATATAAAAGAAAATGGGGTTTGTAATGTTCAGCAAATCTTGGAATTGTAACAGATTTAAGCTGTTTAAATCTTTGGGTTTTTCTATTTAAGACATGAGAAAACTTATTTTTACAAATATTTGATCAATTAAAAAAGTATTAATATAAAAGTAGCTGGTGGAGGGTATTTAAGATTCGGCTCAGCCGAATATAGCACTCTAACTTGTTAACTCATTACTTTTCAATTCCTGGGATGTTAACGATCGTTTTAAAAGCCGAAAGATAATTCTAATTCTATAAAATTACTCTTCAATTTTCCAAGCCTGTTCTAAATCGTTTTAAGTATGTGTCACTAACTTATCTAAATAAACTTGTAAGATTTATTTCAGGAATCTCCTGCCTAAATTAGGGAGGAATAATTTTAAGGACCAAAGTTTTATCACAAAAGTGAGATGTATAAGTGTTGAAAATTTTTGATTTTGTATCTTAAAATCCTTCATATCCTTTAAGAGCTTAGATTGCAACAAAAAGATAATAATTTTATATTTGCTTTTAGTTTTTTTTTTTTCATGTCACACTCTAATAAGTGTACGTGGGCATTGGATGCTTTTTTAACTGTCGATTTTAATTGCTTTTCTTTTCATTTTTTTCCTCTAGTATCATTTGCAAATGTATTAAATAAATGTATCCTAAGAGATTAATACTTTTATATGTATTGTGTTTTTGCATTAATATTCTAAATGGTCATTATTCTAAAAGGTTCTATTAAAAATCGTTGTATTTTTTAGTTGCTATTTATAAAGAAAGGAAAAAATGAATGAATGTAAGTTTTTGCGGTTAGTTTTGTTAAAACAATGAATTAAGGACAAATGCCTTAAAAACAAATGACCCACGTTATTAACGTTTGACTTATTTTTTGAAATTATTACTTAGAGAAAGTAATCGTACTTAGTGGTGTAAGAGCATTTCTATATTTATTTATAAATAACTAATATTTTAATGGATATCTTTAAGTTTCATTTACATTTTCATGTTTCTATTACAGGTGCTTCTTTGGATCGTCGCAGTGGAAAATTAATTGAATCGAAAATGAAAGTTTTATACGAACAAATGCCGGTGATATATATTTATGCTATAAATACTACCGCCGGTAAAGATCCCAAATTATACGAATGTCCCATTTATCGTAAACCACAACGTACCGATTTGAAATATGTGGGCTCAATAGATTTTGAAACCGATTTCAATCCCAAACACTGGACACTGCGTGGTGTTGCTTTACTGTGTGATATTAAGTGAATCCTAGAGTTTTGTATCTTATCCATCAAATGTGTGGGATTATTTGAAAAACGTGTATTTAAAATTCTGTTTTAACTAATTGGAACTAGAGTATATGTATGTATGTGTGTATCTTTGACTATTTATGTGTGTCCTTTTCATTTGCCTTTTTATCATGTTGTATCATTTTTCTAAGAATATATTATTAGTATTAGTATCCTTATATTAATTTCTAGTTTGTTAAATTAACTCCTGTAGGCATATTAATTATGCTTCCGTTTTCAGATGCAAGTTTAACATTGCTGATAATCTTTATGGAAATCTTTAATGAAATTAGTCTTAGTAATAGTATTATAGTGGGAGGTAAACATTAACATACCTACATATTAATAGTATAAATATATTTAGTAATAAATATTAGTGCTACTTAGTAGCATGTTAGTAGCATACATATAACGTATAGAATATGGAAATATATTAAGTTGGCCAATATACGTGTTATTATAGAATTTCAATCAGAGTTCTTTTCCTTTCAAATGAATGCCATTTTAATCTTATTTACATGTTCTTAGTTTTCTTCCTTTAAGTTATGTTCATGTGTCTAACAAAATGGGTAAGTATGTGGAAATAATATTGTGATTGATGTTCACAAAAATCATTTTAAATTGTATATTTTAGCAATTTTAACAATTACTTTATTGTATTATGTAAAGCATAATCCTTATTTCCTTTTAGGAAAAAAGATAGGTGCAATTATAGGACAATTATTATATTTTAAACAATAAACCATTTAAGTTGTTTATTGCCTTAATTCCGAAATATGTTAACAATTCGTTGACAAAATTTTGAATTTCTGAAAGATAGGTTATAGGGCGGCAAGGACAAATATGGACCTATCCTTATAAATTTTGGTAGACAGACATACAGACAGACAGACAAACAGATAGACAGACAGACAGACAGACAAACAGATAGACAGACAGACCGACGGAGAGACGGACATAGCTTAATCGACTGAGAAAGTGATTCCGATTCGATTAGTATAAGTACTTTAAGATGAGTGTAGGATCAATATTTTTGGATGTTACAAACATCAGCACAAACGCATAATACCCTTCTCACTATTAGTATAGTATTATATGAGTTATGATAAATTTTGTGGCTTTATTTGAAATTTATTTTTTTGAAATTTTAACCAGTAACAAGTAAGAATTTGTAGTCGAACGTGGCCGACACCCTACACCAGTTTTGAGAATAAAATTTGATTTATCATTCACAACAAAGCATTAATGTTGATTTTTTTAAATATTTTCAATTCGCCCCTGGGACTATAGAAAATCATGTACCAAATTTCCTTGAGTTATTGACAAAATTGTGACTTGCAGTTTATTAGAAGGTTTACATGGACGGACGGACATAGCTAAATAGACTCAAAAAATGTTTCTAAGATGTTTGACTTTAAGGTGGATGCGTTACAAACATACAAAACAAATCCATTATACCCTCCTTAAGTGATGTAGGGTATCATAATTTTATAAACTTGATAAAAAGTGAAGTAAATATATTTCTAGGGTTACTATTTCTCGAACAAACTAGTGTACGAAAATTTTGAAAAGACTTTATTTTAAATTGGGCAAGGCCGTTTATAGCACTCTTACTTGTTGAATTGTTTAACTTCTCTCTTTTTTGATAAACTCAATTCTTTAAAAATAAAAATGTAAATATCCATTCAAACAATAATTTAGATGTCTCTACATTATTCACACATCTATGTATTTTATGTTTGAGTGAAAAACGATTTCTTTTTTATACCCACCATCAAAAAAGATGGGGGGTATATTGTTTTTGTCATTCCGTTTGTAACACATTGAAATATTCGTCTAAGACACATAAAATTATTTATATTCTGGGTCCTTATTAGATTCTAAGACGATCTAGCCATGTCCGTCCGTCTGTCCGTCTGTCTGTTGAAAACACGATAGAGTCTGAAATTTTGCATAGATACATTTGGTTTATGCAGTTTGTTTGGTATTGAAAATGGGCAATATCGGTCCACGATTTCGCCTAGTCCCCATATAAGGTTCCCTTCAGAAAATGACTTTAAAGCTCATAACTGTCCTTGTACATGTGCTATGACTTATTATGGACCGATCTTGCCGATGCCAAAAAGAGAATGATTTCTATATTTACAAACATATTCCTGTTGAGTTTTACTCCGATCTAATACCAATTATGGATCGATCCAGAAAAAATTTCGTAAAGTGATTCATATAAAAACAAAACAGATTTATGTCGAACTTTATGAAGGCAGCATTATTTGTGATGATTTTATATGCGTTTAAGTGATTTTCAGAAGTGGACGTTATATGGGGGGCTATGACCAATTATGGGCCTATTCGGAAAAAAAATCGTAAAGTGATTCATATGTACACACAACATATTTGTGTAGAATTTTATCGAAAAAGCTTTTTTTGACAATGAAATATTTTCGTTTATGTGATTTTTGGAAGTGGACCTTATATGGGAGCTATGACTAATAATAGACCGATCCGGAAAAAATTTCGTAAAATGATTTATATGTACACAGAACATATTCATGTCGAATTTTATACCGATAGCTTTATAATACAAAGAAATATATGCGTTTAAGTGATTTTCGGAAGTGGACCTTATATGGGAGCTATGACAAATTGTGGACCGATACAGATCTACGTTGGTTGTATGATTTCTGTTCACACAATTTTGTGTTGATACTGATATATTTGAGGGAGTTATTAACGATAAACAAATTTCCGGGAATATATACCTTTGTGTGGGGGCTATGGAAAATTTTGGATCGATTGTAATAATTGATTGATGCCTGCCTTAAAAAAATAATGTGTGAAAAAATGCATCGAAATATATTTGTTAGTTTCTGAAAAAAACTTCTTAAGAATTGGGAAAAAACTTAATTGTTTTCGAGGTAGTCTGAAATTTTTACTCATAACTTTTTAAGTTATGAACCGATTTTGCTGATTTTCAATACCAAACTGTTTATCACAATAATAAATATTTTGAGTAAATTTTGTTGATTTCCTTTGTGTAGTTTTAACGTGAGCGTGTTTTAAATCGACTCAGATTTTCACAAGGACCCACAATATATACACTTTGTTGGGTTTTAGATAAATATTTCTTGGTGTTACACACGGAACGACAAACTTATATATACAGCGTTTGGCTTAAGTTGTTTTTTATCGTTTTGTCGGTATAGTCGGAAAATTTTAAATAAATTTATTTTTTTTAATTATTGGTAATTATGGTGTAGGGTATATAAGGTTCGGCAAAAGCGAATATAGAACTCTTACGTATTGTTGGAATTGTTTTATGTCACAATAAATCAGAAATTTTACAGATGACTTTTTGTATGGCAATTTTAACAAACATACTATCCCAGTCAACATTTGGAAAATCGTTTAATGACTAATCATCACACTGAATTTTCTTCAACTACATTTACACCCGTATTAAGTATCTCGAAGGGAAATTTTATTTTCACAAATTCAAAAAAGAACTTTTAATTTTGGAAATAAAATTTTCCTTTGCGATACTGAATACGTTTATAACAAGTAATCACTTCACAAAATGCTAACTGGGATAAATCGGCATGTAAGCGATGCGTATTCATTGAGATGAATAGAATTCTTTTTTTTATCACATGTGACTCCCTGTGGACATTTTCTATTTCCTATACTCAAGTGAATTGGTGTCATAATGGAAATTTAAACAAAAATTGTTTTTATAGCTGTCATAAACAAAATAGACTAGTATGAATAAAAGCAATATTAAACAAATTTAATTTAAGAAAAGGTCATAGAGTTGCTGTGTAAAATATGTTTGATACACATACATACATAGTTAAAACTGATTTTTTAATTAAGACATAATTAAATATAAAGAAACATCATTTAATTAAACATTCTGTTAAACAAAAATTCTCTCACAATTTATAATGTAAAATTAGCATCAACAAGGCACATTGGTGCTGGGCGATATGTAGGAGAACTATGGGCATAAAATGCGATCTTAGTCCTACTATATCAAATTGGCTTTATAACAGTGGAATTAGAACAATTCTAGCTTGTGCTTCAATAATCTGGTGGACTGTTTTGGACAAAAAGTCTAATATCAAACTACTTCAGGGCATTCAGCATACATGCTGCTTGGGTATAAGTTCTGCCATATGTACTACTTTAACCAAGGTTCTGGAAATGTTGCTAGATATTCCACCCATTGAAACATACTTAAGATATGAGGCGGCGCTTACAGCCAGACACAAAATATGTCGAAAACTTTGGATTAGAATAAATATGGCTATATTTACCGACAGCCAGAAGGCAATTAGGGCGATATCAGGTGATAGAATTATATCTAAGACCGTATTGGATTGTAAGAAAGCTTTAACTGAATACTCTCCCAGAGTAAGGTTTACATCATATGGTTACTAAGCCACTCGGAAGTAGTCGGCAACGAAAAGGCGAATCTAATAGCTTTAAAGGCAAGTGAGCTCGAGTTAACATGATGAACACAAAACCTTTCGACGCAACAAAAGCTGAACAAAAATATGGGTGAGAGGATCCCATTAGGCTTTTTGGAATAATGAAACGGTGGGTAGAACCACAAAGATCCTATGGGGTGAACGTGATGAGAGCAAGACGAGAAATCTCCTCAAAATGAACAAATCTGAGGTTATTATGATGGTATTCTGAGTGGACACACAGGATTACGAACACATCTATACCAAATTGGACGTGCTGATTCAGACGAGTGTAGAGCATGTAGAGAGGACAGGGAATCTCTGAAGCACTTTCTTTGCCACTGTCAGGCATTCGTCGAAGTTAGATAAAAGTACCTTGGAAGTGATGTTAATCCGTAAATAACATTCCGGAATTGGAAAATTCTTAGGAATTAAGTCCAGGAGTTTCTGATAATTGAAAAATATTGTATAAAAAGCTTAAAACAGTCACAAATTTTTTGATTGTTTATTTACAATTGCTGCAAAATGTCGCATAAGTTAGTTTTCGAAATTGTTTGTTAAAATAGGACCATAATTTACCTTACCCCATATAAGGATCTCTGCAAGATTTCTAGGTATCGAAATCTTAGTTCTGAATCCTGAAGAAATGCATTAACACACATTACTGGCTTAAACGTTCATTACTGTCTTATAAATAACTATACTGCGATAAAATTCGACAGGAAAAGTTTTATGGGAACATAAATCTCTACACTAAGTTGTATGATGATCGGTCCACAATCGATCCATATAAGGTTGCTTCCAGAAAATTACTTTAACGCTCCTTAAAAGCACATAAATAACTCTACAGTCATGAAATTCGACATTAACATTGTATGATGAGCGGAACACATGCCCAAGGTGTCGTAGATTGCGAACCCCTTATTGGGCCCCTGGTGGGCCCATTAGATCCTAAATCAAAACCTAAATTCGACAACATTTCCTCTTTATACATGTAAAGTTTCATTAGAATCGTTCAGAAGAAAACATTTAGAAGTTACGGAGTTATTTATCTCATAATTATTTCTATACCACTGTAAGACGGACAGACAGATATAAATACATATGTATGTATGTAGCTTAATCCAGTCTGTTATTTATAAGGACTTTTTCGAGTAAATAATCGATATAATTCTAGTTCACACAAAGTTCAAAAAACGTGAATTTTAAGTTATGTTTTTATTCAAATATGCCAGTGATATATGTAAGGGATCACCATAGCGAATGATTAATATATGAAATTAAATATCACTTATACTTACATATCATTATTATTTATAATTCCACAATAACACATACTTGCTACGTATTTGTAATATGTTTTATAGCTTTATAGCGTTTATTTGTTTTAATATTTTTATTTAGTAATTTTAGTTTAAAATATTTTACATTGATAAGTAAATAAATAATTGGAAATCAATAATAAATACATATATGTAATATGTTTATAATTATAGTTTTTTTTTATATATATACTGAAGTATTTATGTGTATAATATAATTGTTAGTTGTTAGTACATTTTTTAGTTGAAGTACATAATTTTGAATTTTTTTTTTCATTTGTTATTTGTTTTTGGTATTTTTGTTCTCAGTTTAGATAAAATATTTACATATTATATATTTAGTTTAAAGATTTTTTTGTTAAATAAATAATTTTTTTAGACAAACAAATAAATTAATTTTTGTTTTAAATAACTTCACATAAAATATTTTAAGCTTGAAAATATAACTAAAAAAATAGTTTTAGTAATAGATATTTGCATTGACTTTAAAGTTTATGTTTTTCTACGTATTTTTGTGTATGAACAATTTCTTTTAACGTTTGTTTATCTTTAATAAGTTTTATTTATTTATAATAAATATTTTTAATACATTTTTTTTTCGTTATTTTAACAAACATTTATTTTTTTAATGTATATATAGTTTTATTTGATTTTTTTGGTTTAACTGCACATTTACAAACAACAGCTTTATAATATGGAACATTTTTTTTTTATCTTCTTTGATTTTTTTTTGTTTTTCATAAATTTACAATAAATAGTTTTTTAATTGTAAAACATAAATAAAATATATTGAAATTTATTTTAAAAATAAATTCATAAGTTTTGGTTTTTTTCTATATGTAATAAAATATATATACTTATATGAAAATAGTTTCGTTTTAAGTCATTATTATTTTGTACTGTAGAAGTTATATTTTGTTTGTAAAGAAAAAAAAGTTTTAAAAAGTATTTTGAACTCATAATATAATAAAAATTAGAAATATTTTAATTAAAAAATCGCATTATATAATTATTTGGAAGATATACTTTTCTTATACCATTAGGTTAACTCCTAAGAGTATGCTCTAATTTTATACTTTACTAGCAGAATTGGTACTCATTAAATTGAGAATAATAATCACGCTTAATGATCATTAAATCATTTTAAATATTTTTTTTTAATAATAATCATTTTTAAACGAAATACGAAATTTTGGAACTTCCTTTTATATAAAAGCTGTTATTGATCATTTTTAAACTAAACGATATAATGAGTCTTTCTTCCAAATTTTTGTCCAAATAAACGACTAAGTTGTTGTGCGATCTTTATAAAATAGATATATTATTAAATATAAATTGTAAAATTAAATTATATTATATAAACAATTAAATAAATCATCTTAATAATTAACAGCTGCCCATGAAGAGTCAAATTCTCTTTTTAGAAGGATAAATTTAGTTATGGGTTTTTGGGATAGAGCTCGCATTCAGTAAATTAATATTAATTTAAGATGTATGTGTGTGTTTTTAATCCGCCCGCGGAAAATTGTTCTGTATCTACTGATTTAATTATGGTAATTATAGACTTAATATAAAACAAGTAAGAAATTATAGTCGTGCGAGGCCGACCATATAATACCCTACACCAGTTATAAAAATAAAATGTGATTTAGTGTTCATAATAAAGCATTTAAGTTGAATTGTACATTGCCAGAGATATACTTAAGCCATTTATTGTTGAATAAAATTGTGTACACTTAAGTCATATTTCGAAGGAGGCTTTATAGGATCAAATGAGACCCTATCATCAAAAATTCATCAGAGAAATAAAGGCTAGTAAAGAACTTGGTTTTGCAGCTTTTTGTCAAGATACGAGTATAATGAACATTATTATGAACTTAAAAGTCCTATTCGGGGGGTTCAGTTGTATGGGGGCTAGGTCAAATGTTGGACCGATCTTACCCATTTTCAGTAGGATTCGTCTCTAGTACAATAGAAGATCATTTGTGAAATTTAATTGAATTATCTACAAAATTGCGACCTGTACTTTGATTACAAGGTTTACAAGCCCTTTTCGGGGGTTCAGTTATATAGGGGCTGGGTGAAATAATGGACCGATCATAACCATTTTCAATAGGCTTCGAAAAGAAGCTTCGAAAAGAATATATACCAAATTTCATTGATTTATCTTAAAAATGCGATAAATCAAGGTTTACTTGGACGGTCAGACGGACAAACAGACAGATAGACAGACAGACAGACAAACAGACAGACATAGATAAATCGGCTCAGAAAATGATTCTAAGCCGATTGGTATACTTTAAGGTGGGTATAGGACCAATATTATTGTGCGTTACAAGCAACAGCTTAAACCCTATATACCCTCCAGACTGGTGTAGGGTATAAAATGGCAATTTCGTTTAAAAGCTGAAAGGTAAATAATGTAATCGTTTTATGTTACGGAAAAAGTGCTACTAATCTCTGTGGAACAGTAAAAGAGGAAATATCTGTTCAATATATAGAATTAATAATAATAGCTGCATCTCCTATAACACTCAATACTCTTCTTTAAACTCGATCCAGCACTCCCCTTTTGAAACGAAATTAGGGAGGGAAACCATTCTCTCAACATAAGGGAATGACAATTCTAAGAGTATCACAATGGTCCACAAGACCTCCGAGAGAACTCGCTAACTAGAGAGCAACCCACGTAACCTAACCTCACCTAACCATGAAATCTGCATATGAGGACTTGTTCCCTTCGAGCTGCGACAAAACATTTTTAACTGTCCGTGTTTAGAAGAATATTTTACTCTTAGTATAGATGGCAAAATGACACAGTTAAGAAACTCCCCGGAAGATGGGAATTTGATGCAAAATTTTGTGTCATAATATTTGATTTCTCATTAACATCATGTGCTATTCTCTCCCTCTCTCACATGAAGGGATGGAATTGAGGTGCTGGAGATATACTACATATATGTTCTTTACGATGGACTACAATATCTTTCTATTCTTCGGAATATCAAATATTATAACACGAATGTGATGTTCATAGTTAATTTTTTCATGAATAATCAACTCAGAAAAAGATTTATATTTGGGATTGGATCAATTATGGACCCAATGCAATGGAATTGTATCTTATAGTAAGGCATGTCCAATACCGATATAATTCTGTGGAGTTTTGACAAAACCACTTATATGAAAAAAGTGACTGTTATAGGAGAGCGAAAATGCGTTCCAAATTTCTAAACAAGTTGATTTGACAGGTGCCATATCTCTGGATCTAAAAGGCATAGTCTTAGCAGAAGCTGACTAATGAATTAGAAAGTATCTTTATATAACACATTATTAATAAGACGTTATTAAAGTACTTCTATGTAATCAGAACGATATAGAGTAGTCATTGAAAAGTATGTTAATAGGTAAGTGGATCTGGACACTTTCCACTTCTTAAATCCGAGGATAAAAATACTTTTTTAACACAGAAACTCGTTTAAATGAAATTGTCTTTTTTAAAATAATTTATTAAGAAAAAAAACTTCGTTTATTTTAAAAATATTGTTTTCGAAAACATTTTAAGAATTTTGTTTTTAAATTTTGATTTAGTGTGTTTTTTTTTTAATATACATAATTAGTAAATATTTAATTAGTTACATTCACCATTGACTTCGTTTTTTTGTTTTAATGCAATTAATTATATTTTTGATTTTTTTTTTCTTTCTGTTTTAAAACATGTATTCCCTAGTTATAAATATTTATATGTTAGTTATTATAATATTTTCATAATGTTGTTGTTGTACAATTACTACTTAACACATTAAGCAATACAATACACTCAAAAAATTGTTTAATCGTTTATTCGTTATTAAGCCTTATAACATGGTTAGAATTAAGGTAATTTTACTTTTTTTTTTTTCTTTAATAATAATTGTCTTTAAGAGTTTAACAATAATGTCGAGTATTTATGTAAATTTATAGAAGGAATTTAACTTTTTTACTTTATCAATAAAATAAACATACCGTTTGGGGAGTAGGAGGGGGTGGAGTTAAAAAGCGTTGTTGTGGTTGTGTTGTGTTTGTGGGAAGTTTTGCTCAAATAAATTTACTTTCTCGTTAAATGATTTTGATTTTTATGCAAATGATACAAATAACGTTGTATCTGATAATCACCAGAATTATCATTTACTTCATTTTTAAAATCATTTGCATTTGGATTCGAAGATATTGGATTTGCATCATTAAGATCTAGGTTCAAATCATTCTTATGATGATGAAGTTGATGATTATTAATCAATGTTAAACGTTTTGTATTATCGTTACTGTTGCTATTGATTGATTTCTCAAATGTTGCCATTTCACGTGGCTCATTTGCTGGGGAGTTATGCCCATCATTTGATTGTTTTATATGTTTCAAGGAATGTTTGTCATTATTGCCCAATACCCCATTAAATAACATTATGTCCTGTTCACCATTCTCCTCACCAGTCCCTTCGTCAGCATCTGAGGATGATGAAGTAAGAGCATCGTTAATGTAATTGTTATCGAACGATGTTGCACTGGATTCGTATGGCAACCAAGGATGTCGTTGCTGCTGTTGTTGTAGATAATCAAAAATTAATGTTGTGGGTATTAATTCGTATTCATAGGGTGGCAAATGTTGCATTTGCTGTTGCCGCTGTTGTGTTTCATGTACATCATCGTAGAGTGCTGCAGTCAGTGGTGAAGCATATTTGTTAGCCATACGTTTGCCCACATTTTTCAATATGGCTCGATTCAATTCCACCTTTGGCGTGAAAAGAAATAAATTGAAAGAATGTATACAAAAAGAAATTAAGTGAAAAAAGTTTTTTTTGTACCAATAGGGAAATTAAAAAGTTTTAAATACTTTGTTTGCTACATATTTCAATTTGTTCTTTAAGAAAAACAATGTAGACAAACAAAAAAACCACCGTAAATAATGTGCTTGATTGAGCATAATTTCTTAGCTACAGTTCAGTTATTTGTTATATTTCCATTTCTAAAGAATACTTTGTATTCTTCAAACAAAAATTTTATTGAAAATTTCTTTGTTTGATACAATCAATAGTATCATTAGACATTAAAATTGCCTTTGAATAATAATACATACTTAAGAGTTTACATACCTAAGCGACTAAGTTATACATGTAACAGCATCTGATACCCTACACCAGCATACATGCTAAACTTTTAAATCACACAATATCTATAGACTTTATTTAGGCTTAAGTAAATCATGAGTTTATACGTGTTGCTATTTTGTGAACAAATAATTTTCCAATTTAATTATAAACAAAGTAATATATATTTACAATATAAATTTAACTTGACTTTTAGTATAAATACTTATGTACGAAACGTACATATGTTGTAAATTTTTTAAGCTGTAGTAAGCACAACATTATCATTAATCATATTTTATTTAATTTTTTAAATTACATTTCATTTTCTTGGCCTAAAAATGTATGCCAAAACCAATTTAAATTTATAATCTTTGAATGTTTCTTTCGCAAAATGTTAAACATTTCAAAACAGGCACGTAAATTTGATATTTATACGGTAGACTTAAATTTTAAAATCACTCTACTGTAAAAAATAATAAAAGTAAACTTTTCAAACGTTTGTCGTTTTAACACTTGTAATTTTTTTTTTTCATTTAATGATTAATGTATTCAATAAATTTGTTCATATCATTATTTTAATGAAATTTAGTTAAATAAATTATACCAAAACAAAAATTAACAAGAAAGAATATATGATACCCTACACCTTTTTTAAGAAGGTGGCCAATTACACAGGCCGACCATATTTGGAAAAAGTTTAAACCCTGAGAGCAAGTTATAGTTTTCTAAAGGATTGAGCAGCTCTAAATCTGACCTGAGATTTTCTCCATTACATTTGGGATTTGAGATATCGTGCCCTGAAGTTTGAAAAAACACAATTTTCCCTTTTCAAGAGCTTTAGATGAAGTTATCTCGAAGATGAAAGAATATATGTCAGATATAAATACTTTATTTTAAAATCGACAGAATAATGTCAAAAAATTGCGATTTTATACTATACATCACTTTAGTGGCCCTACACCCATCTTAAAGTATACCAATCGGCTCAGAATCGATTTAGCTATGTCCGCGTCTCCCCACGGGGGCATATTACCTTGATGAAAGATCCCATCTTGGTGTGAATGCAATCCCCGGGAAAAAAAGGTGCTACCAGTACCTCTAGTCTGCCGGGACTATAATGTATCCTCGGCCTTTCCTTGAAATGATTTGACATGGGGTCGAACCAGAGAAGCACATAATCTGGTACTACGGGTGGCCAGTAGTAGCTGTGGATTAAACCCAAATTCGTGGGGAGAGAATGATAGTTTAATGACTGATATATCCTATACCTAATGAGTTGCCGGTATGAGCATGAGAATTGTCAGGTTATCGTTCAGTGGTTGCCTGTCAATCCGTAGAGAGATCTTTATGATCAAGGGAATGGAACTGATGCAAAAATTGGCGAAAGATTGGGAAAGTCTCCATATACTGGAGATTAGTACTGATGTAGTTTGCCTTTTACGCTTCGGGAAAGTTCTCGACCATCTCAACAGGATATATTGATTTATACAACGCGACTAATTGTCGGGGCAATTATTTGGTTCAATAGACTTTGGAAATCCCTACATTCTTTGTCATATAGAGGGATACTGATCAATTATTCTGGGTATTTTGAACTACCCAATATGTCTCTAGGAGCTGTTGTCGAATCAACAGGGCCTCGTGATGTGGTTGTGCGACTAATGGTTGTAAATACCAATTGAGCGGATCGTAAGAGAATGAGGACGCTACGACGTTTTTCATGACTATGGACCTGTTGGTCCAGTTCGGTGTTTTTCCCGAGATTACGGATTCAGCAGTTGCGATGTTGGGGGTTTCGTTAACCCCTCTCTTTTAATTCGACTGCTGCTTCTCAGATTGTCGCGGTAGCAACGTGGTGATTAGATAGCTCGATTACTTCAGCAAAGTGCACGTCTACTGGGCCGGACATTCCATATACCAGAATTGTCACCTGCGTGTAAGATACACAATAGGGCGGTGGTGAGTCGTCATAGAATTTCACCCAGTGGCTGAAAAAGACCACCGTGAAATAAGGCCAACACGGCAGGTGTTCACTTAAAGCATTTCGACATTCATTGTCCGTCCGTCTGTATTGTAAATATATTAAATATTCTTGTATCACTAGATCTGCAAAACTTAGATTTATATAAGTCTTAATGATACTGGCGATTTTCGTAATGATCGGGCCTCATTTGACGCACATTAAAATAACTTAGCAGTGGCGTTGTAGCTAAGACCGTGTATTTTATAAGTGTATTTTTATGGGAATTGATATTTGAAAGGAAAAGTATATGGAAGGACAATTATATAGAAAATTGAGTCATCTAGCATGATTACAGGGTTTATATGGAAAGACCGACATGGCTTAATCAACCCCAAAAATAATAATGAGTCTTTGAGAAATGGTCAAACTAGCAGTAGCGTGGGTGTTTCAACTTCCATTCAAAGTTAAACATTACTATAACTTAGATACTAAAATACACTAGCCATGTTCCTTTGATGAACTTTCCCCATCAAAGTAAGATCTCTATTCTGCCGGAACTATAAACTGGTGATGTCAAATTGATCCTAGTTCTTTCCTTGGATTGACTAGACAACCTATCATGCGGACCAGTAGGCGTCAGGGCAGAGTTTCGGATTTTGTCTCGGCCCCGGTTATTGGTGTGGTGCCTTATGGATGCTCGTGGTGGCTGTGATTTAAACCCAAAATCGCCGGAAGATAATGTTGGTTAAAACTGTTGGATACACGGTAAAGTCTATAATTCTTGATAAGTTCGGTGCTATTGCCAAAACAACAGATATCTCACAGAGGAGTGACTGTGGGACTAAGCGTTGAAAATGAGTTTGTGTTCCTCATATACCTTTGTTTGCCTAGTTATTTCTTTGGATTTGATATTTAATATGCATCCTTCTATCAACCAAACCTAACTATGTTTCTGATATATATCATTTTTCATTTTAATAAGCGATATGTTTGTTCTACTTGTTGGAATCTTAAGCAGACCTGTAAAAACTTTTAACAAACTTAACTAGCACGACAAATCAATTTGTGTTTGCAACAATATTTGTCTACACGCACGAGTTTTTATACATTCTGTTAAACATCCTATATATAATCAGCTTTTGTGTGCAGTTTGTGGTGACATAAAAAAGCAGTAAATTTGTGTTCACAACCCATAATAGCCTAAGTCAAAAATTATCACATTTAATAATCAGATTCAACAAAAACTTTCACCTTAAAATCGTAAAATATTTGATGTCACAATCTATAAGTTTGCGGTGCAAACTAGAGGATATAGATTATAGTAATTGTCTACAAATACATAATCCTAGTTGATATGGTTTGTCATTGAAAATGTTCTGGAATAGAGGTGCAACTTTATCTTAAACTTCTCAAAATCATTTTAAATTTATTTAAAGCTGCGAGACATATTTTACCAATTTAGCCTATTTGTGTGAACATTTTATTCTCAATTTTCAAACCACTTTAACCATCACACAATTAACCACCATCCTAATGAGTAAAGATGTATGTATATGTATGTATGTGGAAAAACATTATGCGGTTGAATTGTGGAAAATACTGTAAAAAGTTGTTAGTGTCACTTGCTTTATGCAAACAACCCAATTGATGTAGTAAATATTAAAAAAAAAATCTTGCAAAAGAATTCTTTTAAATGTGTTTACCAAAGGAAGACATCCACTGCTACTGTTGACTGAGCATTTTTCAGTAAAGGAGTGTTGTTTGAAGAAAAGAAAACACCAGCACGCTTTAGGTATGAAGGAAAATTTTTGTTGAAAAACAAACAAGAAATAAGTGATGAAAATATGTTTACAAAATATCTGTAAACAGGAATGGATTCATTTTTTTAATATTTACTTCTACCAATACACAAATACACATACATTAACGTTTGTTACAAAATGCTTTGAGTTTTCCTACTCATACATACATAGGCAGAATGAAAAGTACACATATTGTCTTTGATAAGTTTGTACAATGTACATATTACCAGTAGTTATGGGTAACTGTCTTGAACGATATAGTATTTATAACCTACACCAGAGATCAATATATCTTTGTTGGAATTTTGGACTAGAAAGTAGTAATTTCAAAAGGATTAAAATGTTGCATCAACGCTACAAAAGAAAATAGAGTTTGCGCTATATCATCTAACCTTCACCGAAAGCAACTTATTCATCTGTAACGATAATTGGCCGAAAAAAACGCACAAAATGAAAGCATTGTATCATGACAACGTTCGCGTACCTTTTGCAAAACCTTTTGGAAACTTCCTTATAATCCAGACCTTGTCCCGTTCGACAAATATTTGTAAACGATGAGGAGTTTATTTGGCATGGAATCCATATTTTGCCAACAATGGCCAATATTTGGAATGATGCATATCATACAAATGTTTAGAATTTAAAGTTGAAGTGCTTTACCTGAACACCTGAAGTGTTGGCCTTATTTCAGAGTGATACTTTTACAAACGCGGGGTGAGCAGATTAGACGACTCTTATATGGGGGTTTCGTTCTTCCGATCCATGTACAAGTACTTTGCTCAAGAACACGAGCTATCTGATCTTTGATCATTAGTGCACCATTGCTTAACTTCCGAGATGCAAATAAACACAGATAAGATAGCTTCTGTTGAGTTGGCAACAGTACCTAGAAACGTTATTGGTTGTAGCGACAGTGATCGTTGAAGGGGAGCTCAAGCAGACTTGCATGTCTGCCTATCACCCAGTATCCTGTTATTACTGCTATCAGCCTCGATATGCCCCGCCTACTTACGTTTATAAGGTATCTTGCGCATTTCTTATTGAAGGAGGGCCACAATAACTTGGCCCTTTTACATGTGTCTAGGTTATTCCACCTATTTTCAGCCTTTTGAAGAAAGAAACTGAGAATACTGCTCTATAATAAAACCTAACGGAGTTGTTACTGAAACAGCGTTGGAAATATTAAGAGCAGATCCCGTTCTGGCAAGTTTATCTGCCTGTTCATTAGTGCAGGGACCCAAGCAAGGGTAATGTCACACAGGCGACCCAGCCTTGACAGATCCTTCTTGCATTGTCTAACTAATAGTTAAATGGTAGTATAAGAGTTTATTGAGAGAAGTGCCGCTTGACTATCGACAAAGATTCTTATGTTGCCGCGAATATTGAGGTCATTTAGTACCCTACAGGCTGACATTATCGCAAACATTTCAGCCTGAAAGTCACAACAGTTGTTGGGAAGACGATGAGATATACTTACCCCAGTTTCTTCACAGAAGACACCAGAACACCGCAGTTCATTTTAGAACCATATGTAAAGATTCTGGTGGTATATTTCCTCGTAGGTTACCTCTACACCTCTCGCTTCTGGAAGGAACTCTGACTTTGAAAACTCTATCAAAGTCCGTGTATGGGTTGGTTCAAGATTGGAGGTGATAGGCTTAAAATTAATATGTTCTTGATCTCCAATTTCTGAATGTGTTAAGCCTCGCTGCGCTGCATGCAGATATGGCCATTATATGCATATCTATTGGTAGGGAAATTCTTCTTACTCACGAAGAACAATCTGGCCATTATATGCATATCTATTAGTAGGGAAATTCTTCTTACTCACGAAGAACAAACTGTCACAAATCTAGTATGAACAGAGTAAACCCTAGGTATACCAGGACAAGGAGGAGCAATTCAATGGCATCACTTGTATAAGATACTTCACATCCATCACCATTCATTCCACCAAACTTCTCATTCAGCCGACACACTTATTGGGAAAAAGTGGTCTCCCGTAGGTTAGTGGTTAGTGTTCTAGTCTGATAGGCCGGAGGTGGTGGGTTCGATTCCCACCTGGGGCACTGGTTAAGGAGCGCACAACAGGCCCGATAGAGGCCTAGGTGTATTTCTTCAGATTTGATGTATATACATCCTCCTTTCAAACTAACTAACTATTGGGGAAAATATCCGACACACTCACTCTAGGTATACGGATGGGTAAGGCCCTAACATATATCACATATTATATACACTTAACACCAACTCATTTCCAATGCTTAGCCTCACAGTCACTACTCTCTCTAGACTTCGAAAAGAGCACGTGCATCAGTCCTTTAACCAACATTCTCTACCCGCGAATTTGGATTTAAATCACAGCCACCACATGCACTCTGAAGGGATCTCTCCAATAACTGGGACAAGACAAAGTCTTAAACTCTGTTCTGCGGGCCACGGGTTCCCGTTGTACCAGATTATATGTTTCTCTGTTTTGACCTCATGTCAAATTATTCCAAGGAAAGATCGAAGATACATTTGATCATCACTAATTTATAGTCCCGGCAAACTAGAGGCATTGTCAGCATCTTTTTTTCCGTCATTGCAATAACACCAAGATAGGGGAAGTTTGAACAAGGTAACATGTCACCGGGCGGGTTTTAAAATCTAAAGATAAACATTTTTAAAAATCACGCATTTTTGAGGTAAAATACCTTTCGAACATTTGCAGCCATGCCTAAACGAATCATATATAAATGGATACCTTGACTATTTGAGCAACTGCTGGGTAAAATGGAAAAACACACACATGAATATGTTCTTACATTTGTATATGTTTATATTTCTCACACAAATTGTCATTTGTAGAGTGTGTTTACACGATTGAGTAATCGAGCACAAAAATTTAAATTGTATATAAATTTTTTATATGTGTATTAGTTGCTATAACCCTACAGTACGAAATGAGCTTTACCCCTAAGTGGATAATTATCATACTTAACTTCAAATCTATAACAAATTGCTGCTTAATAATAACCAACTTTGAATGTCCCACGATTTCTTGGAGACATTAAAGTGATGACTAAATTCCTGTCAGATTACTTAGGGACACTAAAATGACGATTGTAATACTCTATATAAAACAAAGAGTTTATATTTGACAAATTATTTGGGAAAACATACTGCCTAAAAGGGATACGTGGACTTCTTGAAAAACTACTGGGCAGTTTTTACTCTATGTGTTAGAAAATACTATTAAAGGTGTATTAAATATATTTAGTTAAAGGCGTTTTAACATATTAAGTTATACAGACTTGTGGTAATAAGATTTTAGCTGATTGTCTGTCTCCTGTATAAATTGTAATATATTTATGTATTTTTCCTAAAAATTTTGTTTCTACATAAGGTAAAATTAAAAAAAAAAATAAAAATGTTAAGAAGAGGGTTTGTTAAATAATACCTTTAAAAATACGCATTGGTTTCCTTAAACTTCTTGAGGTTAAGAATTTCTCATATTTTTTTTAAGGAAAGTAATTTTAAATTTAACAAAATCTAAATGACATTTGGTGGGTATTTAAATTAAGTCAAAACTTTAAGAAAGGCTTTAATTATAAAGTGAGAGAGATAAATATTGTTTCGATTTCTCCTGGATAATAACTCCCTGTAGTAATAGTAATCATTTCAAAACTTCATAATTTTCTTTAATTTTCCTTTAGAACTACATGTAGTGTAAATATTATGTTTTTTTCAAAAATTTTTCTACCCAAAGAAATTTTCAAAAAGTTTAAGGCATTTTCTGTTCAAATAATATTATTATTTTGCACAAAAAAATCCTGCAAATAACTACATAAATTTTAACTTACTTCAACTACATACTGTGTTTAGCATGTTTTTTTTTTTTTGTTTATAATAAATATTGTTGTAAAAAGTTATTCTTTTGATGCGATTTCTTAGTATTTTGCATTTATACTCATTATTTGAATAATTTACATTTTTTTTTTCGCTTTTTACCACAAAATAACCAACATTATACATTTTATTGCAAACATAAGAATAAAATGTATATTGTTTTTTCTTATTATTAGTATTTGGGCAAAAAAAATATTTCTTTTGTGTAACTTACCTGTCTCGAATTCTCTTTCATTTGCCTACGAGCTATTTCCAGTAACAAACGTTGCCTCAAAACATCCAGTGGATTTACAATTGACAACGATGGTTTGTTACGTTTCGAACGGAAGTAGTCATTCTGCAAAGAAAGAAAGAAAGTAAGAGGAATATGAATAAAAAACTGTGAAATTTTCTTAAAATTAAGTTTTAGAGAAAAAATATTAAATTACAAAACGGTTGAGTATTAGATTTTTACGGTGAATGGACGTTTGGCAAGTGTTAAATAAGTTTATTATATTTTTTTCATAAATTAATTTATAAATATTAAAGATTTTATTAAAGTAATAAGAAAATATTACAATACACTTTTTAATTAAGCATTACAGCATTCATTGTGAAAGTGGTTTGTGATCCTTGTAATGTTTAAGAATCGGTTACGTCGTTACGGAATCATATCAGTCCTCATCCCAGAAACTAGATGCAGGAGAGCAGAGGTAGCTTCCAACACGGTTTTCGACTGTTCTCTACCAAAAGGGCTGGATGTCAACGCAACAAATACAAAAACATGGTCACTATGTGAAAATACCACATAGATGATAAAACCAACAAAATACACCATTATTGGACTCTATGTATTAGAACTATAGGTTAAAAATTTCTATTGTTTCTATATAGCACTTCTATAGTTCCCCCGGGGCATGTTACCTTGATGAACTTTCCCATATTGATGTTATTGCAATATCGGAACTATGGTGGTGTCAAATGAATAATCGTCCTTTCTTTGAAATGATTTCACCTGGGGGTACCACTGGAACCGATAGCCCAAAGGGCAGAGTTTCGGACTTTGCCTTGACCCGGTTACTGGAGAGGTCTTTTCGGAAAGCACGTAGTAGTTCAAGTTTAAAGCCAAATTCGCGGTTAAAGGACTAATGAACGGCAAGTCCATAATTCGGCATAAGTTCGGTGCTGTGGACGAGACAACAGATACCCCGCAGAGGAGTGACTGTAAGACTAAACGTTGGAAATGAGTGTATATAATGTTTGACATATATTTTCCTCAATGAGCATGTCAGATGAATTAGAAGTGTGCTGAGTTGAATGGTAAAGGATGTAAGGTATCTTATACAAGTGACACCATTGAATTTTCCTTCCGTGTCAGGGTACTTTCAAGGTTTACACTGCCCATACCACATTTACCGCAGTGTGTTCTATGTGAGTAAGAACAAAGTCTTTGGCTTATTTGATGGATTTGCATTTCGGTCTACCGATTACGCCTCTAGACGCTGTTGCCAAATGTACAGAGTCCATCCCATCTGCGTGATTATAAACTGAAGTGATGTTTTGCTTCTCGGAAGTTACGCAACTAGGCAGCAACGGTCAGAGATTACAGTACGCTTCTAGGTGCTGCTGCCGAATCAACAGAGCCCATTCCATCTGCGTGATTATAAACTAAAGTGATATGAGAAACTCCAATATGACCACTTGGAATAATAGAACGCTGGATAGGACCACTAAAATCCTATAGAGTGATCCCAACAATAGCGAAATGAAAAGCCTTCTCAGTATGAATAAGTCTAAAACTAAGTATGATGATATTCCCCTAAGAGTGTACACACAGGTTTACGAGCACAAGTAAAGAAAATTTGACGAAAATTTCAAACTAATGTAGAGCATGCGGAGAGGGCGCATGTTCCAGATATTAGGAACACAAGTTGGAAAATTCTAAGGAACTACGTCTAGGACACTGAATTTCTATACATTAGACAAATTCCACAAATAGTTTCCATATAAAGTAAGGCACAACGGGACCTATATCGACCATTTACTCTTTCTAAAACATCTCTTATGTATTATAACGCGCCTACATCATCTTTGAACAATACTGCATAGGGTCTAGGGTGACCAACTCGATTTTTACTAAATAATTAAAAAATATTACATTTTGATGGACATTTGTGCATAAAAATTTTTATTTCATAACAAAATATTTACAAGACATAACTTTTAATTACTAATTTTAAATGAATCTTAAAAAATAATAATAAATATTTATATATATTTTTTTTTTAATTTCCTGTCAACCTTGCAACAAATTGACAAGATATTTAATTTCACTTTATTTTCATTTTGTAAGCAACAATTTCTTGTTTTTAATAATTTAATTTTCTTATAAAATTGTTTGACATGCTAGTAGTTGATAAAATTAAAAGTTTATAAAATTTTCCATTTAACTAAGGGTTTATGCAAAGTTAAACATTCAAACACATACACACAATACGTATCTACATTATGTATGTAGTAAATTTCTATTGAAAATGTTGCTAATATTGTTGCAAGTACTACTGTCATTGCTGCTACTACTACCACTACTACTAGGTGTTACTGTTGATGTTACTGTTAATGTCACAACAAAATACATAATTTTTTATAAGCTTCATATTGAAAACTTTGACACCTGTGTCATTTGCTTTTTTATTTACTTTTATATACTTCGGTACTTATAGTCAGTCATTCATTTGTATTTTCTTTCTTTTGATTTTATTTTTCTTTTTTTTGTTTCTTAGATATTAGTTTTTTGTTGTTGTTTTTGCTATTGTTGTTTATTGTCAGTTTAGCTGCATGAAATAAGTATAAATTGTATTTATTTATTTATTCAGACTTTATAATAACACTTGTCTTTTAACTTCATTAGAGAAAGAAAAACTTTTTTCAAGTTTATTTGTATTGTTTAATTTTATGGAAAAGTATGAAGAAAATTATGATTATACCCTACATCACTGATATTTCCAGCACCTGTATGTAATGGAACTACTTTTTAAGATATACAGATATACTTTTACGATGTCCGTCAGTCCATATGTCCACTAAACTTTTTAGCCATAGTACAAGTCTGTATTTTGAAAATACACAGAAGGAGGATGAACCCTATTAATTTAGTTAAAATCAGTCTATGCCCCGCTAGCCTTTTTAAGATTGTTGGACGATTAATCAGTAAACTGAGTCTTTTTTGACTCTTTTTGATGGCCTAAAAGTGATTAATATGATTGTATATACATTTATTTTGTAATTATATATCTCTCAGTAGGAATATCAAAAATGTTTTCTGTATTATTGCATTTGCTAGTAACAGGCATAAAAATGACTCAGAAAAGACTCAAAAATGATTAAAATATAATTCGAAAAAGACTCTAAAATGACCAGTAGTTCGACTCAAAAAAGATTCAAAAGAAGAGTCGCGGCATTTTCTCCTGACGAAAGTAACATTTATGATCAGAAAATAAACGCATATATGATATTTTTAATCGTGTAGAAGTATCATAAATGACTCGAATATGATAAAAATTCCAAGAAATGCTAGATGGATTTTTTCAGATAGCTTCGATATAAACATTATCACACTCACAATATGTATACAATTCTAGGATTAAATAAGTACGAGTTTGGTTTTAAATCGAGTACATTTTGGGATTAAATCAATTAAATCAATTAAAATTAAGTTCAGACTTATTGAAATAACCTCGTAATAAAATCGAACTTAAACCAAGTTCGACTAGACTATAGTCTAGTCTATAGACTAGTCTATAGTCTAGTATATAGTCTAGTCTATAGTCTAATCTACAGTCTAGTCTATAGTCTAGTCTAGAACTTAAACCAAGTTCGACTAGACTATAGTCTAGTCTATAGACTAGTCTATAGTCTAGTCTAGTCTAGTCTAGTCTATAGTCTAGTCTAGTCTAGTCTAGTCTAGTCTAGTCTAGTCTATAGTCTAGTCTAGTCTAGTCTATAGTCTAGTCTAGTAGTCTAGTCTAGTCTATAGTCTAGTCTATAGTCTAGTCTAGTCTAGTCTATAGTCTAGTCTATAGTCTAGTCTATAGTCTAGTCTATAGTCTAGTCTATAGTCTAGTCTATAGTCTAGTCTATAGTCTAGTCTATAGTCTAGTCTATAGTCTAGTCTATAGTCTAGTCTATAGTCTAGTCTATAGTCTAGTCTATAGTCTAGTCTATAGTCTAGTCTATAGTCTAGTCTATAGTCTAGTCTATAGTCTAGTCTATAGTCTAGTCTATAGTCTAGTCTATAGTCTAGTCTATAGTCTAGTCTATAGTCTAGTCTATAGTCTAGTCTATAGTCTAGTCTATAGTCTAGTCTATAGTCTAGTCTATAGTCTAGTCTATAGTCTAGTCTATAGTCTAGTCTATAGTCTAGTCTATAGTCTAGTCTATAGTCTAGTCTATAGTCTAGTCTATAGTCTAGTCTATAGTCTAGTCTATAGTCTAGTCTATAGTCTAGTCTATAGTCTAGTCTATAGTCTAGTCTATAGTCTAGTCTATAGTCTAGTCTATAGTCTAGTCTAGTCTATAGTCTAGTCTATAGTCTAGTCTATAGTCTAGTCTATAGTCTAGTCTATAGTCTAGTCTATAGTCTAGTCTATAGTCTAGTCTATAGTCTAGTCTATAGTCTAGTCTATAGTCTAGTCTATAGTCTAGTCTATAGTCTAGTCTATAGTCTAGTCTATAGTCTAGTCTATAGTCTAGTCTATAGTCTAGTCTATAGTCTAGTCTATAGTCTAGTCTATAGTCTAGTCTATAGTATAGTCTATAGTCTAGTCTATAGTCTAGTCTATAGTCTAGTCTATAGTCTAGTCTATAGTCTAGTCTATAGTCTAGTCTATAGTCTAGTCTATAGTAGTCTATAGTCTAGTCTATAGTCTAGTCTATAGTCTAGTCTATAGTCTAGTCTACAGTCTAGTCTATAGTCTAGTCTATAGTCTAGTCTACAGTCTAGTCTATAGTCTAGTCTATAGTCTAGTCTATAGTCTAGTCTATAGTCTAGTCTATAGTCTAGTCTATAGTCTAGTCTATAGTCTAGTCTATAGTCTAGTCTATAGTCTAGTCTATAGTCTAGTCTATAGTCTAGTCTATAGTCTAGTCTATAGTATATTCTATAGTCTAGTCTATAGTCTAGTCTATAGTCTAGTCTATAGTCTATTCTATAGTCTAGTCTATAGTCTAGTCTATAGTTATTTAAGACTCTTTAAACTGAGATCCCTTGTATGAAGGCTAGTTTATATAGTAAACCGATATTGCTCACCTTATTAATAGAAAATATTTGTAAAAAATGTCAGCCCTCTTAACTCCACC